GTGACCTGCATTCTTGCATCTATCATCTATATATAGTTATCTAAATCTGTCAATCTCATATTTCGCCCCGCTGTCACATTCTCGTACGTGAAATTTACTTTCGCGGGTTTAAAATACAGCGAGCTGTCGACCCCGCAGTACGTACAAGAACCCTCACTCGGGTCGATGTAATAATATAGTCTCAAAAATGGAAGTGCATGCAAGTGCAAGCCCATGCAAGCATACAAGTTCTCAGTGAGACAGCATTCACCGATTATGCTAATAATTGTGTCAGTCTGGCGTTAGCTTATGTTAAAGGGCGTGAATGTTGACATAGGGTGGAAGAAAGTCTAAGGAGCCGAGGGTATTCAGTTTGAATCAGTTCAGGAGCCTTGGTTTGATAATCGGCGAGCTGAGTCTGCACTTGACTTAGGCTATTGGCAAACTGACGTCGGGAGACAAGGGGGAGAAAGTGCTACAGGACGTCATTTGAGTCAATTTGACAGAATGTCACAAACGTCACTGTCACTGGCAAGTGCGCTGTGTCCGTGAGCAAGGTCAGCTGTTTAAGGACGAGCAGCAGCAGGCTAAAGGCAAGGTTGCGGCACGTTTCAAACCATGATCATAATAAACAAATCAGAAACACGAATTGGCATCATGTGTTTTAAAGTAATATAGCGAGCATATTGTTGATTGCCTTTTTAACTTTCAGACAAATAAAAAACAGATTGGCAGGATTAGAATAGAAGTTATTCAGTACCTCAGAACAGCGATTCTTCAACTTCAAGCGTTGTCGAAAGACCAGAAAGTGTGTCCTCAAAGACTGAAACTGAAAGAGTTCACCTTTTTAAAAAAAGCTTTGCGCCAGCGGCGGCCAGCAATGGAAAATGAAAACCCACTCCCGGGAAAGACAATGCGTCGTGGGTTTTTCTCTTTTCTTTACTGTTGTTATATTTTGAGCTATATATTATAGGCCTGCGTGAAATCGCCCAGTTATAGTTGTCCACCATTTTCAGGGAACAAAATGACCCTCAACCTTTTGTAGTAGGGCCACACAGGCAGGATTTGTGAGTTATTCATGATTCATTCTCAATGAGCTGACTTCATCATTACCACCATCATCGTTCTTGTTAAGTAGAAGTAAAACATATGGAGCCACGACATAATTTTGAAGAATCTACGGCATTGGACATATATTATTATTATCAAAACTTGTAAGATTTTTAAGGCTTCTTCGGGATCATTTGTAGAAAAAAAGACACCATCATCATCAATTGTGTAGTCCCGTTGGCCGTTGCGGCGTCAAGTATGACTGTCCACTAATCTCTTCCACTCTCTTTTCATGTGTTGCTTGCCGCCACAGCCAGTTATCAAGTTCTTTAAGGAAAAGAGGACTATGTAGATCAATCTGTCTTTGGTTTATATTTTTTAGGGGGGGGGGTGAAGTATTTTTATGGCGCTCGCAACTGCGTGGCTTAAAGGCGCTTTTATGTAGATCTATTTGAGCGCGCGAGGCACATCAAACATTTTCAGTTGGTAGGAAATTTTGAATTTTGCCCGGGTTGCGGCCGAAGCCAACTCCTTATCAATTTTGGACCACCAAGGAATCTTTAAGTGCGCAATCAGCACACGAGACCTCCGATATTTTTCGCTCTTATCTGAGAAGTCTAGGTGTTAGATCTTACCTACCGAGATCTACTGACCACAGTGAAGAGACGAAAACTAAAATGGTATGGGCATGTCACAAGATCCACAGGACTTGCCAAAACAATCCTGCAAGGAACCGTACAAGGAAAGAGAAAGAGAGGAAGGCAGAGGAGATGGGAGGACAACATTACAGAGTGGACAGGAAAGACGATGGGTGACAATCTGAGGACAGCAGAGGACAAAAATAGATGGCGAGAGCTGGTTTTCCAGTGCAGTGGGGCCCCAACCACGGGATAGAAGAAGAAGACCATAAGGTTAGGGATGTGGCTGAAAGAGCAGTAAGAACGAGCAAAAGGGTAGTTAGCAGTAGAAAAGCTGCAGAAAGAGCCATGAACTTAAGAGTTAGAGGAGGGGGCAAGGGGCAGAAAGAGGAAATGAAAGCAGGCGACATAACATTGTTAGAGAGCAGGAAAGGAGGTGAAAGTTAAAGGAGAAAATTTAAGAATTTCCATCGCTTTCCAGATTCCAACGCGGGACCTATTGAGTGAGAAGTGAACACTGTAACCTCTTGCCAACGGGAGCACCCCTCTGTCACCTTAGAGCCAATTTCAACAAAACGTTGAACAAATAAAATTCACCCCAATCAGTCTGTAAGTGTAAGGTAAACTCCCAACTACGAAAATTGAAAATTAATAGATCTAAATTTTTATAAGTGTCTTTTTTAGTTTTAGTAAGTGTTTTACGGCACTTGCAACACAATAATGTCATATAAGGGCTGAAGATTAGAGGTGTCACAAGAGAGTAACAAACACAAAAAAGAGGGGAGATAAAGACGATAAGATGTTTGATAGGAAAGAAGAAACAAACCACAACAGAGCACCCGTCAACCACACACAAAGAGTCTTTACACAATTTAGATCATTCAGGAGGCAGGCTTCGACCCTGCTTGTCAAGGCCAGCCCATGCCCAATGTTCGAGCAGAGGACCAAGATACTTGATAAAAATTCTCCCCACACAAGAATCAAGCTCAGGCTTTCTGTGAGCAACGGCGAAGCACGTAACCCCTACATCACAGACACTAGTTCAAACTTAGTTTTATACGGCACTTGTAACACAATTAGGTCATACATGTATAAGATTACAGTTGTTACAAGAGAGTAACAAACACAAAAAAGGAGGAGAGATAAGGAAGATAGATATTTGAGAGGAAAGAAGGAGCAAACCACACCAGAGCACCCGCCAGCCACCAACAGACGCTCAAACTATGTATACGTCACGTACATAACACAGGAAAATAAACACATTAATATATCACGGTACAGACAATTTATTAATAATGAGCTGGTGAGAAGGAATACACAGAAATGTTATAGTCCACAAATTGTTTCACCATCAGTTGCTTTTTTTTTGTGTGTGTGGAAAAACAGCACAGTCAGTTTTCACATACCATGTGCATTGTTAAATAAAAGCAACGAAATTACAACAAAAATGGTCCACATCAACTTCGGGGAGAAAAACAAAATAATCCAAAACACAAGACTACCAAATATGTGTACAACATAGACAAACAGAACCACCTAACACCAGGTGTTTAGACTTCCCATCTTTAAGCCAGACATGCAAACAAATATTACACAGCAGGCCAAAAGTACAGCAAGGGTGTTATAAAAAGAGTAGCTCTCATCAGAAACAGATCGGAAGAAAACAATTAAGTTGTATGATAAAAGTTTTGTCTTAGTCTTAGCCTCTGGCAAGTGTCATTCCTAAAAGAAGGAGTCACAATAAAATGGGTTCTTTAACTTGAAGACTAACATCTATACTCTACAATTTCAGTATTGAATCATTCTTATACTGGTGCAGACAATTCCATCCAATTAAACATTAAAAGACAGAGAGGAGAAAGATTCAGAACATTCCACAAAGTATAGGGAAATCACTTATGAAATAGGTTTCCCTCTACCCCATAAAATTCTTCATCTGACAGATAAGTAAATTTCAAACAAAGCTGTGAATTTCACTCTTGTTGGCAAAACCCCACAACTGAACATGCCTTGTGCACACCTTATGTACACACAAAGGATGTGTGAACAAGCAACGAGAGTAGTGAGATGGATAAATAGAATAAAATAAGTGCTTGAAAAGAGACTGTGCCTGGAAAAAGTTTGGCGAGGACAAAAATTATTACGCCACCCTAAAGTAGCAAATACTTTTTAGAGAGTGCAATCTGAAGTTGATTTACGAACATTGGTGAAAGGAATTTATTCCGGGACAAGAGTTGGTCCGTGTTAATAAAAGATAAAACACTGGCAAGTCTGTCCACTGTGCCAAGCAATGGGACATTCAAAGGGGGCAGTCTACAATGCTGACTGAGAACACCAAGACCAAATATTCATAAGAATCCATTGCAAAAAAAGTATGAGCAACACAGGATGACCTACACTCAATCCCTACATTAATGACATCATGCTGGAGACTGCAATGTTATTATAATTATCAGTCCAGGGAGAAACATCACATCAAAATTACCACATATTTTTTTTTACCAAACAGCATAAAGAAAAAGTTAATACAAAATGAAAAAGTACATCACTAGATTCTACGTACTACAATTTTTGGTGTTGACACCTTTAAGGGGATCCACTGGTCAGATCAGTAAATATTTTGAAAAAATATCAGTTTTCGGATTTTGGAGTATCTTAATAGATATCAATATCAAGGATCCATCTTTAGAAGCCTAATTCCTTTATCAAACTTATAAATAGCTGGAAAACGCATTTAAGACAAGTAGCAATGTAGGAAAATCTTCACCAAAAATTATCTCTCTTTGCAGTTTTCTCAGAATTGTTGATCTGACCAGGTTGCAAAACTATATTCAGTAGATCTCAGAAAGTTACTGTCAGAAGTGTTTCACATTTGGACACAATCTTTTATACACATTTCTCTATAACTTTACAGGAGCATTTTTGCTGTTTATGGAACACATTTGGAGTTTTAGGCCTGTTTTATTTTACAAAATCTTAAAACATTGGAGACCTGAATGTAGAGCATAGCAAGGACTGTAAGGCTCACAAGTCAGTACAGAACATTCAAATTTGGCTCTGTAAGGTTGTTCTACCTACCAACAGTAATCGCCATGCCAAATATTAGGCTTCTATCTTGATGAGTGTTGATGATTGACAAAATATAAAATTGGTTTTAAAAATGCTGAACCAATCCTTTATTTTTGATGGCTCGAGATTACTAAGGCTAAAATCTTGAATTTTTTGCTTGATAACCTTTTTTTGTACTATGTCACACCCTTTGATGCAGAAAAGCAAGCGTTAGACCAAAAACTGTAGCATTTGGGTGTTGACCATAGCTACACCCCCTTAAAATCACTTGCCAAGACAATTGTACAGAAGTCCACGTGGAAAACAAATCAATCAACTAGGAAATCCACTTAATCCTGCAACCCACTTCACACCAGACACATAACAAAAAATACATCACATTACCTTTACTATGACTATGACACAATAGCATAAACATGCAGGCTACCACCTTTACTCAAAGTGAAGACTTCATAAGTCAAAAGAGGTAACAAACTTGGGTTTATGACCATTTTACAGTGACTACAACTTCATAGCTAGTGACCAATATGTACATTTTCCTCCCCCCATTAGTCACACTGCATAATTTTTTTTCTGAACCTGTTAGCGCTGAAGATCAACTCCCTCTCACTATACAACAAAAACAAAAAGCGAAAACCTTTGATTATGTTATACCGAGTATGAAAAATGTATGACCTTTTGAAATGACTATTAATCAATTCTACACTCACACAGCATAACCATAAGACCACCGCAATCATTCACCAAGACAGGTCAAACACCCTGTATATCAAAACATTTCAGTAACGGGCAAAGTCACCAATGCGAGACCAAACAATGCCTCCCACTATTCCCAAGACAGTGCAGTGTCCGCAACAAGTTGACAGTTTGTGGCCATAGAGAAGTCACGCAACAACAGACTGCTTCTTGAAGACGGAAAAAAGGGGGGCGTGGGTGAGGGAGGGGGGTTTACTCTACTCTAAAGAAAGAAATAGGTAGGGGTAAGGGCCTTAACCAGAATGTCGTTCCATATGTACAGATCTACCCTGACACCAAGTCAAACAAATTTAAAGGTGCACTAACAAAGGCTGATTGATACCTCTGTTTGAATGCGTTCCCATTTCTAGAAAAAGGACATGTCAGCAGCTTTTAAAATTCGAAATCAGCTTAGGATCAATTTTGACCAAATACACTCCTCTTTAAATGAGTGACTCTTCTTTCTTCTCTCACAAAGCATGAACACAATCTTATATACATGTACTTGGCAGTGCTCAAACATTTCCCAAACCCACAGGTCACAGGTAGCCTAAGTTCAAAACAATGTCTTCGTAACCCACTAACGCTGATTAATCTATACTGTAAATTATTTCTCCCTTGGGTCCAAACTGAAACACAGCCACACCCAGCGTGAACTGGGACAACATACAAACCGAACACACTATCATACCATACATCAACACATGCATTTACCATTCAAATTTCCTATGAGATTATGATGATGTCTTAGGGGTAAGATAAAAATGAAAACTGTACATGTGTAACGAGTGAGTGAGAGCACGACTTAAGAAACCCCAAAGTGCGTGTCCGTTCTTGATCTGAACTTGGGGGCTCATGACGATATCCAAGATAGCACTCTCCTCCAGTAACTTTTTAACTCCTGGAAAGAGAGAATGGGGGTGTACAAGGTTTTTAAAAAGTGCAACGGAAGACCAATAAATATTTGTAAAATGTAAACTCATTTTCAAATTCATTAAGTGCTAGGGCAAAAATAGTTTTAGAGGTAATAATGAATTTAATAATAATCGAGAGATCATTTCTAGTGTCCACTCCCTGGTGACCTTTAGGCACTTGACAATAAAACAAAATTTCAAAAGCTTATACCACGACCCATTCAAGGTACGAGCTGTGACAGGATATCTCAATTCTGTACAGTCTACTGCATGAGTGAATCAGGAAACCCAACTGAGCCCCAAGTACTGCACACTATACTTTGAACACAATGTAGCACAGGACAGTATTCTGTCTATAGTTAGATGCATACATTGCACAAACAATGAAAGCTATATAGTTCTGGAAACGCGCAAAGAATAACTTAGCGTTCATTTAGATTCATGGAGATTCGTCATGTACCAGTCAATAGCCAGCTATACACTCACAGCTGCCTCAACTGCAGATTGCCACCTCAAAGGCAGGCATGCACTTTTCGAAAAGAAAAAAGGATCAACAGACAAGAGAACCTATGCACAGAACAGTTCCATACAATACTGAGCACCCAATAACTTTGCTTCTCTATTACGTACTTAAATATTTGAAAGCCTGCACAAATGCAAACAAGTTTCCAGCAAATTACATCAGTGACAATTGGGACCATTAATTAGAATTTCTGAAAAGCAATAAGTAACCTGAATGATTGGGGCACTTTTATTCATGTGAGTTCAAAAGAAGCGCAGTGACAACATTAAGTCACTTATGCAGTGCTTCCAACAGCTGAAGATGAAAAGTAAGGAACATTTTGTCTGGGGTCCAGGGACAGCGTCCCGGTGTGGGTTCAGGGAGCGAAACCCCCGAAGAAAATGAAATTCAGTACTTTTAGAGGGTTACAAATGGCATTTGGGAGCCTGTTTGAAGAGAACACAAACAACCCATAACATCTATTTTTTTCATCTAGATTATTGCTCAAAGTAGAGTAGTAACTTGAATGGCTCAATAGTGTGAGAGTTGTAAGAAAAACACACCGCCAGCAAAGAAACAAAACAATTTTAACACACCTAGAACTTGATCAACAGAATATACAAAGTTCAGCTATGGTTAAACGAAGCACATGGTCACAATAGTGATCATAGTGAAATACAGTGGAAACCATATATAACAGGCCCGGTTAAAAGTTATCGGCAATAACAGGGCCTCACCGGAGCCCAATTGATTATAGTAGGGACAAAGGCTCGTTAACAAAGTGTAAAAGGTAAGAGAGAGGGAGAGAAACACACAGTGGGTGATGTGAAAGAGGGCAACGGTGTACTGTAGACTTCGATCTAGCCTTAAGCCTAGCTACACGCACGCGTAATATGTCATGCGCAGGCCATGGGGAACTACCCATGAATAAATACAGTTGGATTAGTCCACAAATGCTTACTTCCCTTGCTTTTCTGATTTAACACGGATCTGATATAACAGGACTTTTTCTCTGGTCCCATCATCCCTGTTATATCAGGTTTCCATTGTATTGGCCATTAAATACAGATAACAGGCAAGACAGCCAAACAAATACAAGAGGAATAATAAAGCTTAAAACCCATTAGTGGCACCTTCCACGACTTACAAATACAGCATAGATGTATAGCCAGATCAGAACCAAAAACAGCTAGAACATGTCTCAAGGGATCTGTTAATAGAGTTGTGCTTCCATAAATAGGAAAAAGAAGACAAGAACCTGACAAAGACCATATAGAAGGAAAAAAACAAACCCCATAAAACCCTGATAACACCAAACAATTCCTTCATGTTCAGCAGATTTCTTATCAAGGGAAGTTGTAATGCAAAGAATAAAATGGGGGGGGGGTAACATTTGAAATCCTTTCCAAGTCAAGGTCATTTTGTGCGAAATGCTTTCAAGTGAAACAAATTTTACTGTACTTGCTGTTATGCATTCACTCACCTGCTCCTGCTCCTTCTCCTGGGAGAGCCTGAGGCACCTCGACTCCTGGATCGCCGACGGGGAGAGAACGACCTGTACAGAAGAAAAGCAACACGATGGATTAAAACAACACTTCTCATAATAACTTTAAATCCCATCTACACAGAAAGAAACACAACATAAATTTCCAACATCAGGACGTCGGTGGGACAATTCCTAAAGGAACAACTCTGAAACATTGACAGCATTAGCAATATGACATACTACAACATGCATCTAGTGGGAGAAGCCTGACATGATGAAAGAAACTCAGCAGTGGACAGGAAATTCATGGCTAAAAAATACAATCCCATATATCCTCAGGTCCAAGTTGAGCAAAGAGCCTGTTGAGGGTTTTTTTTTAAACCCCCTCCTAAGGCAAACTTGTGCCAAATTCAAAGATAAAGTGCAAGAAAATCAAGCAACAGTGAAATCAGAAGCAACATGGTGGAAAAGAAACCAAAAGAATAAGACAAACTGACATTTTTCTTGCTTGGATCTGGGAATGTATACATGGCAACCTTGAGGGGACCTACAGGCTCAATTTTTTGGTCACCTCACTGTACATCCATTGTACAAAGTACAGTACCGTTACCAATATCTCGTTGATCATAAGTTCATGCACGCCTTTACAATAAAACACTGTTTGGGGGGGGGGGAGAGATAATTACACATGGACAACTATTCGAAAACTAAAAACACTGCTTCTTGAGAAATATAAATGTTTTTAACTTGAAAGAAGCACAACAACACAGTAACAATCACACAATACCAAGTCACAAACAAATTAAAAAATGCAAAAAGTGTATAGACAAATAAAAAGGAACCCACCAGTGGTACTATCCAGTAATCATGAAAGAAAAGTAACCTTTGGATGTCAATAGTATCGACTTGTAATCAATCATCAGCCAAGACGGCAAAAGCAACCAGCTTGAGGACTTTCAGTGGATTTATACATAAAACATTGTACAAAGGGAACAAATACAGATGTTAGAAATAGGCCGCGAAGAAAAATAGCCCCAGCATTCTGACAACAGAAACAGAAAGGCCAATCTTTAGTCCAGTTAACCATACCGAAAGCCTTCATGTTCTAATTCAAGAAACACAGCAAGAGGAAAAAGACGTAAGCATGGGAAATGGGATGAGACATGGTTTGTGGAGAATAAGCTCAACGTCTTGGAACACAATATGATACCAGACATGCTGAAAGAAGTAGTAGAACACTAAAACACTAGAGGGGCTCATCTCTCACACACCCACACACAGAAAAGGAGAAGAAGAGAAAAACACATCTTTAATGAAGGTGTTTTTACGTCCCTAGATAATTTAAGAGATGGGCTTCCAACCCAGGCTGAGAAGGATGCAACATCCTAGTAAAAAAACCTAGAGCATTATTTTATCCACATATTTCTATTGTTAACCCTCTGCGTGCGCATCACGAGCACTGGTCGTGAAGACTCATACCTCTCTTCCGCGCGCATCGCGACCACCGGTCGTGATCTGACATGAGGGTAGAAACTATACTGCTGACATGAGAATAGCAAATTTTTTTAACTGCTGGTTACTACAGTCAACCAGTGCAAGGTTTATTAGTGTCGCTGGCCGCGCATTTCGCAGTTGGGGATCGGTTTGGAGTTTTTTATCGGCAATTTTCTGGGATATTATTTAGTTTTCAAAATGTCGGATTCGTGAGCTGATTTCCACAGATTTACCCAACATTTTTCTGGAATGGGACGACAGTGATAAAGAGTTTGGATTAGGTCCTCAAATAAAAGATTTAGATCTACATGTGAATGATGGGGAGGTATTGTGTTGTAGATCTAGCGAGGTTAAGCCCAGAAGGGGACGTCGATATTCCTGCTGATCTCCAAGCAGGCTGGCCTAAAAACGATGAAGATTTTGATACCAACAACAACATCATAAAAAACTACATCTGACCAAACATAAGGGTAGTTCATTATTTAAGACACATTTTTCCTTCTTACTGTAATTAGAAATCATAAGAAATAAGAAAGACCCACTTTTATATCACCTTCAATGTTTTTAGTTCTCCCCCCCCCCCCCCCCCCCAGTACCCTCATATTACAATCACTCATTTTTCCAGCACTCGGAAAACTAATTAAAAAATCTGATAAAAGGGTGTCCCGTTGAAAGAACAAAGTATTGGGTAACTTCTAATTGAATATGTATACCGATGCAAAATAAATGAAAAGCATAGAAAGTGAGATGAAAAGAGGCTGATATTTGTGAATGAACACTGATTTGCATTATAAGTAAAAAAGAAAAAAAATCATTTGAAACCAAACATTCACTTCACAACACCAAAAACAAGAAACAACAAACATTATCAAGAACACAAGGGAACACACAAGTTACTGTTGCTCTCATCTGCCTGACAGAACAGAATCTTCACACGGCACAATAACCTCCATTATGATTCACCAAGCGAAAACTTGGCCTTGCCACTTACGTTAGAGATATACCCAACAGTCTCTTAAGTTTGAAAAACTCATTTTCTGGCAAACACCTTTACTTAAGGTCCCAATCATGCATACTAGACTGAATCCTAAAATACGGAATCAATTTAAAAGACAAAAACCATCTGCGTCTGATCTGCATCCCTTCTCTTCCAACGCCCCAGCATTTGGGCTATACATTTTACCCGAAGGAAAACAAGGTCAAATTCATTTGTTCATAAGCAGCAATAGCTTAGGATCTTGTTCATCCACTCTTTCTGCTATCTCCACATAGCCTACACTTCTCTGTCCAGTCTTCAGCTGCAAAATAGCACCCGCTTGTTTCCATACACACGGTAGTTTCCTCATGCCTGACAAAAACTGCCACTTTTCATGAAAGACTTACATATCCAATATTCTGCGAGCTGACAAGTTGATTCAAATAATGAATGATACTGATAAAAGTGAAATTCATGTTACGAAATTTTTCCGGCATTCCGAAATGAGCAAATTTAGAAAGCAGAAAAGACCTGAATGTGTATCAGGAGACGTGATGAGGATGAGCAAACTATAAAGCCAACATAATAATACCAGCATACCGTTTTACAACGAAGAAACTGTTGACGGCGGAGGAGTTGGTTGATGATGATGATGAAGATGAAGTGGGTAGGTGGAGGGCAAACGGAGAAAGACTTCTGCCCTGTAGACGCCCCCATGGCTTCGGCATATGGACTCATCCACATTCAAAACATTCCCTTCTTGTGGCAATAACTACCTATTCCTCCCACCATTAATAACAAAACTGTAGGTAACATAAGCACTTGCTGTAAGGATGTGCCTAGATTCATAGCTGCTCATAGTCCAAATTAATGTGCCTGATTTTTCTACTTCAAAGCAGTTATGTGGGAGAACTTCCCAACATTGACAATTTATCGCTTGACTCACCCCTGCCTACTTCTTACAATAGAACACGTTACTCAGCAAATGGAATTTTTCAAAAATTATAAAACAAACCAGAAAAAAATATTAACACCCCTCCCCAGCTAGGACGAAGTTTTAGGACCAGTCCATTGCTTTTAACACATGGGGGTGGCGAGCAGGCAAATGTCCACCCTTAACTATAAGGGTAGGGGCCCCGAAGTGTTGGTTGAGCCTAGCTGCGGGGATGCTGAGCTGGCTGCAGGGGGCTAGCGCGGAGCGCCGAGGCAGTCCACACTGGCATGGGGAGCCACAACCTTAGTAGCTGAGACGGTAGGGGTAGTGGTAGGTAGAACATGTAGTAGCAGTGGTCTGCCTCCACGAAGGCCAGGGTAACTTAACAAAGGCCGGCGGAGGTAGAAGCAGAGGCCGCCTCCTTGTGAGGTTGGTTGATTGGTTGGTTGGTTGATTTGATGTGCTAGTAGCAGTTAAGTGAAGAGGGTGGTGCTAGTAGTAGTGGTGGTGGTGGTGGTTGTTTTGGAGCGGCGAACCCTGCACAAGATGATGACGGAGACCCTGCGAGAAGTTACATTCAGAGAAAAGAGCATCAGTCAAACTGGTAACTCCTAGTTGCTACACAATATTTGGCTGTGCACTGCACATTTACCACTTACAGAGTGAAAACGGTCACTATATCCACACAGAGACCAACATCAAATACACATCTTTAAACATCAAAACAATGAAGGCACAAGAAAATAGAAAAATGTCAAAAAAACCTATACTTGAACTTGCATCCGAGCACACCTCCTCATCCATCAAAGAGACCGCCAAACGTTCTACCTACAGCAAAGTTATTCTGTCAATAATGACAAGCAATCACGGTTGTATAGATTACAGCAAAGAAATAGCTCAAACACACAATATCAAATGAGTTAGCGCAGTATCCGATATCTCGCATTCTATCTTTATACAAACAAAAAAAATTTTTTTTAAGGATTTGGTTTCCAAATCCGAACACTGTTATATCCCATAACCCCATCAATAGACAGCCACCCTAATAAATATTTTCAAGCTACCCATTTAAATTTTGATGAAAGCAAAAGAGGGACGACAAAGGTACGACATTCAATTCATATTCTTAAACGGCATGATATAACATAAACACAAACCTGGATCTGCGGCCGCTGCCGCTTCTGTAACTGTCCCCATACTGTTTGCTGGTTCCCCGTGGAGGTCCCCTATTGCCCCATCGTGAACGCCCAGATGACATTTCTATCCGCACTCGTCGACCATTGATTTTGCTGAAAGTACATACAATACACCCCCACTGTATACACAGCTTGCCAATAAATTTAATAACTGTAGGGGATTCCTCAACAAAGCAATGCACATAACTGTTATAACAGAAGTAAATACAGTGGAGTCTGCTTAAATCAAACATAACCGTAAGAAAACAAAACCCCAATTTTTTCTTCACTTTATGAGCAATTTCTTAACACCAAAACCACAGCTAAATGGAAGAAAATCCAGCAATCCAGCAGATTTTAGTTTAAGCGAACTCAACAGTTCATTTTCTAAACTCTTTGTTATAGTAGAGTTTTTATGGCACTCGCAACTGCATAAGGTTATATGAGCACCAAGGGGTGGTTTGTTTTAGTAAGAATTTTACGTCACTTGCAACACAATAAGGTCATATAAGTGCCGAAGATTAGGTGTTACAAGAGAGAACAAACACAAAAAGAAGGAGATCAGGACGATAGATGTTCTATACGAAAGATGGAGCAAACCACACCAGAGCACCCGCGAACTACCCACTAGTGGTGGATGTCAACAGAGAAGTCCTACAGGGAATCAGACTGACTCTGCTCACCTCTCTAGCTTTAACAGCACAAAGTCTGCTTCCACTATCAAGGCACCCCGGAAATAGCGAGTCACAAGAGTGTGACAAAAACATACAAAAGAAGTAGAGGAAAATTGACGATAGTAAGGATGAGGAAAGATAAAGCAGCAGTTCCCTGTTGCAATTTCAGCACAGTATTGAGCATGACATCAATAAATCAGCCCATAAACAACTTTACTGTGCAACAGAACATGGAAATGTCCCCCCTTTGGGAATGGCCTAAAGACACTTCAGTCAGGGGTATTAAACTCTGATCTACAGTCAATGAAAGTACAGCTTATTGTATGGTTATTTGTTATATGATATTAGTTCATATTCTCTGTATGTTATGTGGTGTACCCCATATTATTTCATGTTATGTTGTACCTGTATCATTCATTGTCCCTGTTAATCCGTGTTCACAGATGAAATGATCATCTACCGTTTATAATAAATGAACTACACTGAGAAGTCTTTCTTCATGATGATTTCATATCAACCCTCGGTACGATATCCAATGTGAGAATGATCTCACTAAGGGGCCTTCTTCTCCAGACACAAACAAACCGGTGCCATGCCCTGACTGCGGGAAGAAATTCAGTGTATTCAAGCAAAGGGAAAACGGCTCCTGGAACACTAGACCCCACACAAAATGCATCAATTGCTGGCGAGCTAGTCGTCACAGAGAAGAGCCTACATCTCTCAGCTCCTTGTCGACTGAGCCGGCTGTGTCCCAGATTGGTGTGGTGGCTCTGCATCTCGAAGTGATCTCCAAAAGTGACCTCAAAAGGTCTAAGAGCTCATGCCATTCTCGTGCAGAGCTCTGCATCACAATGGCCGGGCTCAAGAAGAACACAAACCAGCCTGAAGCCCTTGTGAGAGGTATCGTGGACAGTGGGGCCATGTCAAACCTGTGGGGCCTAAAGAACTTCACTGACAGTGGCTTTTCAAAATCTGACCTTCTGCCTGTGAATATGGACATGAGGGCCGCTAATAAAAACCCCATAAACATTGTTGGAGCCTTTAATGCATTAGTTAAGGGTAAATCACCCATTGGTGAAATTATTGCTAGCACATGCTTGGTGTACATATCAGGCTGTGTGAATGATTTCTTCTTGTCATATGACACTATGCTTGATCTATGCATCATTGATAAATCTTTCCCTACAATTGGTGCATGCATGAACAAATGTTTTGGGTCCCCACCCAGCAAACAAACCAGAAAAGAAAGAGCATCAACAACATGGTAGGTCAATTAATTCTGGTTGCACTGGTGAGGAACAAAATGAGCACAATTGCAAATGCCCTCAGCGAGAGTCCATACCCCAAAGACCCACTTCACTGCATTTTGCTCCTATACCGGAGAACAATGAGAAAATGCGTGATTGGCTGCTGGAGAGCTACAGTAGGTCCACCTTCAACAAAGGCTCTTGCCTTGCATGACAAGACCCCCTGTAAAAATACATGTTGAAAAGACTGCCAAACCCAAAGCCTGCCACACGGCAGCACCCATACCCCTTCACTGGCAAGAGCAGGTCCATAAAGACCTGGTGCGGGATGAAGCTTTGGGGGTAATAGAGAAGGTCCCCTTCGGAGTGCCAGTTACTTGGTGCCACCGCATGGTAGTCACAAGGAAACGCGATGGCAGCCCAAGGAGAACAGTCGATCTCTCACTCCTCAATAAATTCTGCAAACGAGAAACCTTTTCAGCAGAAGCCCCTTTTCCCCTTGCGAGGCGCATCCCTGGTAAGACATGGAAGTCTGTCACTGATGCGTGGAATGGCTACCACAGTGTGCCACTAAGAGAAGATGACAGACACCTCACTACTTTCATATTTCATAACCCCATTCGGGAGATGGGGGTACACTCACGCACCACAGGGTTTCCTTTCTTCAGGGGATGGATACAACAGACGTGAGTACGCGAGGTATCGCGAGTCCCTATATGCCTTGGATGGTGTCATCCTCTACAGAGATAGAATTGTCATACCATCTTCCCTAAGGAAGACCATTACTGAGGGCCTTCACCCTGCTCACCAAGGAGTCTCATCAATGGAGATATGGGCTCAGTCCATTGTGTTCTGGCCAGGAATGACTAAGGACATACAGCATGTTCGAGCCAGATGCACGGATTGCAACAAGAATGCACCGTCTCAAGCCCAACTTCCTTCAAACCCTGCCCACCCACCTTCAACCCCGTTCGAGAAAGTCTTTGCAGACTTCTTTGACTATGGAGGCTACCACTATCTGGTGATCGGTGACCGTCTGTATGGGTGGCCCGAGGTTTATTCCACCCCCACAGGAAGTGCCCATGCTGGAGCAAGAGGCCTTATAGCCTGTCTACGGAAATTCTTCGCCACATTTTGGGTACCAGAGGAGTTGTCATCAGACGGCGGCCCTGAATTCACTGCCTGCCAGCCAAACAAAAAACTTCCTGTCCACATGAGGTGTACACCATAGGAAATCGTCCGCATACCACCCACAATCCAATGGGCGTGCTGAGGTAGCTGTCAAATCTGCCAAGCACCTTCTCAGTTCCAACATCAACCCCTCCGGAAGCCTCGACAGCGACAAATTCTTGAAAGCCCTTCTGCAACTTAGGAACACCCCAGACCCTGATTGCAAGCTTTCACCTGCCGAGATTGTCTTCGGGCATCCGATCAGAGACATGTTCTCTTTTGTGAATAGGCTTGAAAAGTTCTGTAATAAAGCCATACAGCCCATTTGGAGAACACAGCGGTTATAGAGCGCCCATTTAGTTTCGGCTGGCGCGAGGCAAGCAAGCCCGCGCTTCCCCAGGTCACGGGGTCATTTACCTGCGCCGCCGGGGATTTCCCTAATCAGCCGAACACCGGCAGCGCTCTTGTATTTTTTGCAAAGTTTACCAGCACAGTGAGCCAAAGCTAATGTAAGATGAATATTTTAATAAAGACCACGTAAATATTCAACATATTAAGGAAGAAAATGAAGAAATCGGAAGAACATGGTACATTACACTTAAAAGCTGTGAAGTTCTCAAAAAGGGGACTTAATTTGATAAATGTGTCATGGGTAATCAATTATAAACATCGATTTAAATATGAATGCCCCCAACGAATTCAATCAAATTTGCACACAGGACTGAGAACATAATGAAATTTGTACTGACAAAGGGGCATATGCACGAAGTTTCTGGATCCGTAATTATTCAGGTTTGAAGTTGATTTTTGCAATACTCTTGCTTTGCGACCTTGTTTTTTCATAGCGATATCCACGATACATGTAACTACAGGACAGATCTTTTCTTGCCGATACACTTATGAAAACACAACCTAAACACAAAATACAAAAAGAACACAATATTGCTGGACTGGAGGAATTATCTCATTTTTCCGCTGTAAGCTTTTGTCTTTTGATGGGTGGTGCACACGACAGAGTAGCTCAGAGTGGGTTTGGACGTGTTGTGACTGCATGATTGTTTTGACGTGTTTTTCTTTGTCTGTTAGGCCACGGTTGCATGAATGAGATCACCCCCTTGCTCACAATGGAAGGCCATTCCAAACCCACATTTTTGTATCCAAGGAACGCAGTGTTTCTCAAGGATGTGTTGTTTGGGGATGACCTTTTCTTTTGATCGATTTTGATTGAGTAGCACATGTTTTACGGCACTATCGACTCAAGACCTTTTATTTACCAAATATGTTTCTGTATAAAGACATATATCGTGTGATGCATGACTGAATATGTGGTATTCTCTCTAAAGTGATTGGCTTTCCATGTGCAATTACTGTGTGGATATCTTTGAAGGTGTCTTTTACGTGAACAAATTTCTCTCTCAGAACAATTAATGCAGTGTCTATTATGCTTTGATTTCGTGTACATGCAACTGTTCCTTTTGCTAAAAATGATGCTAGCTGTCTGTACACATGGGCTGTGATGAATTTATGGCAGTGGCTTCCTATAAATGAACGGCTGTTGTAGGCCTGTGGTGTGATGTTGTGTTGTTTGAGGATGTTATCAAATTCAGAGCAGGCAGGACTTGACCTTGGAATAAGCTCCTCAAACTCTAACTCTGACAGCTGATCATGTACACTAGAACCCTTCCTCTCAAATCTCTCTGCTTCTCGTGGATTATCCGACAAAATCTGACAGCCCTGTAACAATTGAATGTCCTCCTCGTTTTTTCCCAGCCCTCTTTCATTTTTTGCCATAGATATGCACATTTTGTCCTATTCCAGGCGTGCAATTCTCCATAGATTGATGGACCAGCTGTACATCTATATCATGTGCAGCCTCCTCAAGAAGGCGATGATGTTTGAGCACAATGCCCACCATATGATCATGTTGAGTGTGGCACTCCATGACAAAAATATTGTTAAAAATGATAACGAAAATCAGATGTAGTAGAGGCAAGAAAACTAAAAACAGCAAGAATGAATGTTC